TGATAAAGTCATCTTATTGGTCGCTATATTTGATAAAGTCATCTTATTGGTCGCTATATTTGATAAAGTCATCTTATTGGTCGCTATATTTGATAAAGTCATCTTATTCGTCGCTACACTTGATGAGGTCATGTTATTGGTCGCTTTATTTGATAGGGTCTTCATAAAATCGTATTTAAAAGTTTATTTAACTATTAGGAATCTTAAAATTCAGCAATGATTTTCGTACTTTTTTTTTGACCGAATTAACCTGAACAGTTTATGCTATGTGTGAGAACAACATATGATGTCATAATGCGTTAATAAAATCTAATTATTTAAACATAAAGATCCTAAGTTCGTAAACAATTTAATCGCTAAAACACCATCGTAGTAATGATATCTACTTACTTCCAGTAACCCAAGAACAGCGCTGTAGGCAATGACGTCACTAGAGCTAGGGTCACCCAACTGCGCGACAAGAACGCCACTAGTGCCAGACAACATGAGCCTAGAGTCCACAGAATCCAAGATAAGCACACTAAACGGGATCTCGTAGTAGGCCCCACTTGTTCAACAGCTAATAAAGATTACATATAGTTTTACATGGTATTGCGTTTATTACATGGAAATTAAATAATTCCCGAAGGAAAGAATAAATCATAAGTGTTACGTGAATATTGGGTTGTGTATCAAACAATCACGTTATTATAACAAATTGTATAATGTTTTCATCTATATCGGTAAATGAAACGTACGTCTACATGTTTATCTTTGAGAAACGAAAACGCGCGACGACGATTTCGCTTTTAACTGTTTACATGATTCTCATCATTCTTCATCAGGATTTTTGATATATTTTTTTCTCCCTTTGCTTTCAATATAAGCATTGCCAAAGCTAGATATTATAAGTTCAGCCACCACCACACACGAGTCTACGTTAGTAACAGTTTTTCCCGAGTTGGAATGGAATTATAACAACTGGCGAGATAGAAAAGTACTAATTTTGTAATTATAAATATTTTGTTTTGTAAATTAGTTAATTATTTAGTTGTTTCTAACCTAGTTCCGCTATAACTTAGGAAGTTAAAATCTAAAGTAGTGAACACTTGTAGTTCTCTATCTACATAAAACATTTACAAAAACAAGTACACACTGACGTAGAAATAGAAACAGATTAATATATTATTTGTGGATTAGGCTTTGTTATAAGAACAAGATTATGCCGACTCTTCGTTACAATATTAGTCAGTCCACTTCCGACAACGTTTATTTTATTGAATCTATAAATAAGATATAACCTAAGAATTTGGTTGTCCCAAAATTTTGCACTTTCGAGGCACCATCTATCGTCTATTTAGAAATAAAGTATTTATTGAAGAAATGTAAACAAATCACCCTATGTAGATTCAATACTTACTTAAGATGTAGGGAAGCTGAAAATTGGAAGGCAGAGTCCC